AAAAAAAAAGAGACTTTTCCATTTGATTACATTTTGTATGATGGATTATGCAGAAAAAGTAGAATTGGGCTGAAAGATCTATCGCTTTATCACCTATTCAGGTTGTAAATCATGTTTTTAAAAAGTAACTAAGTAACTAAGTAATTAATTACCTTTGAAAATAAGTAAGCAGTAAAGTAACGGGATTACTTTTTTGGGGAAGTAATCAGTAATTAGTTACTGATTACTTTTTTCAAGTAACTTGACCAACACTGGTTATAACAAATCACTGATCGATCATTCTACACCTAGCTTGTTAGCTGTGAATAAAACAGAGGGTTTAACAAATTTTAGACTGACACTGAGGTTTAAGCTTTTAATAACTCCAGCCGATTCCTCGGTTAAATCAGATCAACCAGTAAAATACAACGTCACAGACTTCATTAGAAAGTCGATTTTATTAATTATCATAAAAACACTTAGGAAGAATAACAGGATGAATAATGGATTTAACTCAGTAAAATATCTGAAAGTTAAAACTCAGGCTCATCTCTCAGATTTAAGTTTAACTGATGAAAAACAAACTGAATGAATGAATAAAATACAAACCAATTTTTTTTCTTTCTTTTTTATGAGAAACCTGTAAATGTACCAAACAGAGTGAAAACATCCTCAACTTTTCAGACCATTTGAAGGTTTAACAAAAGTTTTCATGTTTTCTGGAGAATCTGAACATTTCTTCATCTTTAGTTTGAAAAGTGATGCAGTTCAGTGTTTCTAAGAAACATGTTTGAAGAAAGATAAATATTTGTTTAATGTAGATGCTGAAGGACATATCCTGGTCAAAAATGACTCCGCGATTACTCACAGTGTTACTGGAGGCCAAGGTAATGCCATCCAGAGTAGGTATCTGATTAGATACCATATTTCTAAGATTTTCAGGGCCAAGTACAATAACCTCAGTTTTTAGAAGTTTAGAAGCAGAAAAATAGAGGTCATCCAGGTGTTTATGTCTTTAAGACATTTCTACAGTTTAACTTATTGGTGGGGTTAAAGTCACATTCGGGGATGGGTTCAGGCTCTGTGGGAACATTTAAGGTTTCATGTCTGTAGTGAAGTGACTCTAATAAAAACCTTCGGCATACTGCTTACACTAACCATGTTCATGTTACATGAAGAGGAGTTACGTCTATGTGAAGAACTAACGATGTTATTGCATGAACACCACCGTTTCTGTTCCCAACAGGAAACAGCTTTATTGTTCATGTTGTGTCTGGTGGTATGTGTACTTCTTGTAATTTCTTTTTAAAGAGTGGACATGCTTTTTGTGCACCACCAGAGTTTTAGAAAGTTCCCGAAATGCTCTTCAGTCTCTGTCACGGCGGCCGTTTTAACCAGTCAGAGGTGGAAACTGAACATCAGACTCTGATTTTATATAAAAATAAAGAATAAAATCTTTAGATTCACTGCAGCTATTTTAATTATATACAAACTTATTTGTTTTGTTACTAAATATGTAAAAATATGCAAAAATAAGTCTCTGGATTCTTTAGGAATATGCACTTCTATAATACAACTGCTACATTATTCTGTATTTGGCTCAAACTAAGAACTCATTAAATTCGGTGTACCTCAGGCTCACGTCCTGGTCTTCTTCTCTTCCTCAGTTTACATGATTTATCTGACAGACTTTAGACTTCACAAGCTGTACTTGTGACTGAAAAACATTAAAATATTTTTTTTTTATTGAGCACTTAATTGACAAAAAAACATCACTTTTAAAGTGATAAATATATCATATTAAAATATTTTAAATAGATTGTCTTTGACGTTTAGGAGTAAAAAACCCTGAAAAACAAACTGTACTCACAGTAATACTGATTCAATACTAATTACTAATATTAGTAATATTACAAAATAATAAATTTCGTGTATAAAATAACTGGTCTTTGAGTGATTATTCAAACTTTGAAATGTGTAAAATAATAAAGGTTTGGGTTTGGGGCATGTTACCTGATCTTCCGACTTTCATTTTAAGATTTATGGATTTAAATTAGCATATTTTCTCAACAGTAATTTTTTATTTTATAAAGTAATTGAAACAATTTCATTTTTTCTTTAATGTTTTCACAGGATTTCTAATTTTAGCTGGAAATATAAAGTGTTTGTACTCTAAAGGGTTCAATAATTTCATCCAGCCTAAAAATATTGATTAGGTAACCAATCATCTGATTAGCTTCAGGGCTCTTTGATGTTTTCTGTCCAATCAACTTCTTTGAGAACTTGAGAAAGTTAAACAAAATAAAAGGAACATTTTTTTTCCTCACTGCTGATTAGAATGGCCGCCGTGTCGTGACCTTTCCAGAGAACATCACCTCCTCTGACTGGCCAGGCTGCTATGGAGGGGCCGGACTTTAGATAGGACTTTGTGAGGCGGGTCGGTCATGGTCGTTACGCATTTCATGTTGGAAGGAAGGGTTGTTACTGGGGTAATGGTGGGTATGGGAATGGGCGTGGCTCCTGTCGTTGTTGGGGTCGCCATAATGGTTGTCGTGGTAACGGATGATGGGGCGCTTGTCACTGTGACAGTGGGTTTGGTTAGAGTCGTCTGAATCTCAGCTCTCCTTGCCAGAGCTGTCCGTAACTTCTCCCTCATCTGTTCGATCTCCTCCTCCAGCTCCTCCAGCTCGCCAGGCCGGGGCGGAGCCACAGCAACACGGGGTGGGGCATCTGAGGCAGGCGGGGCTATGGTAACGGGGGCAGGGGTGGAAGTAGCAGGCGGAGAAAGCGCCGCGGCTGTGGGGGGTGGAGCTGAAGCATTGGGTCTTGCAGAGGAGGATGAGGAGGGGAGCGTGAGCAGTCGGTTGGTGAACGAAGCCGCCGGTCCTCCATTCTCACACAGCCTGCTGTTTGGCCCCGCCTTCGGCTTGGCTGGACCCTCCCTCTCAGCCATGGCGCTGCCTCCCTTGGCTTCAGAGACTGCAAGACGAGCAAGCAGACGGCGGGTGTTCAGCGTCTCCAGGTTGAAGTGGACTCTTTTGAAGTCTCTGGCATCTTTGGCAGCAGCGGCGGTAGCTGCGGCATCGGCGTCCTTGCTCGTCTCGTTGTTCCATTTGGCTGAAGCTCCCGGAGCGGGAGGGGCCGGAGGGGGCTGAGACTTGTGCAGGTTACAGCTGAACACAGACAAAGACCTTAGGCTCAGAATAATGCACATAAGTCAGTGAGAAATATGTGGATAAGAAATCTCTAAACTCCAAAGGAGACGTTTAGCTTGAAGAACTGAAAAAAACATTATAAGGTCATGTGTTTCTAATTTAAAACCAAGACTTTTTCAACAGCGTTTTTGCTCATGAAAGTTTATATTTATCGTATTTCTCATTCATGGATTATAAAATCAGCTTCATAACTGAAAGAATAACTGGAGATTGAAGCCTAAGATTGTGCTGTTCTCTGTTGACATCTTGCAACTCCCATCAGAGTTAACCTAAACACTCTGAGCTCAGATGGTGAGACTGACCTCTTCTCTTTCTCAGCTCGCTGCCTCTTCACGTCCTCGTACGTCATGTTCAGAGCTCGGTGGATTTTCTGTCACACAGAGCGTTTAGTTTTCTCATTTAGTTTTTCACAAACATGAATGAATTATATAAAAGCACTCAGCTGAGATCATCCTTCTCTGACTTACCTGTGAGGTGTGCAGCCAGTACTTTAGGTTCTGACGGCGGCGGATGTGTGGCAGAACGAGTCGGTAAAAACCATGTTCGCCTGCCAGAGTCAGCAAAGCGCCGCTCACGCCGACGCACAGCAACACGAAGAGTCCGGAAAAGTGGCTGATGCCCATCTGAAGAGTCTGAGAGAGAAGGGAGTGGCGATTACTTATTTACCACATTTCATTAGTTCCAAATGGAACATGCTTAACGCAGAAGATAAAAACATAAGAACCTGTGCATGTTTAAAATTGTAAAGGCATTGAAAAGAGCAAAATATAAAACTAAAATAAACCAAAACAAAAAAACACCTGATGAGTGCAGGCCTGTGCAAACAAAGAGATTTTGAGTCTGTTTTTAAATGGACGCACAGATGTAACTGATCTAAGAGCAGGAAGATGTATTTGCCCTGTCCTCTGTGCCTGCAGTGTGTCAGCAGCTGGTTTCTTGCTGTGTTGCTAACTGGTTTCCTGTTGCCGACTGCAGTTTGTGTTATGTTTTTTAATCTGCCTTTATGAGGTTTGATAGCTGTGTCTCAGAGTGACCAGCAGGGGACAGCATCTGCCCACCTGAGCACAGTCAAAAAATATATCCAGTCCAGATCTGAAGTGTCCAGACGCCTCCTCATGTTGTTCTGTTGGCTTTGAGAAGGTTGAAATAAAATACATTTCATGAAAACATCTCAGGTTTGATCTCTGAGCAGCTCTACACCAGCAACAGGAAGGAACAGGTGGCCACGGCCACACAGGTGTGCTGCTGTCACACTGACCTCAGTAACGGCGAACACACGGTTCCCACACGGAACCACTTTGTACCACTTGTCGTGCAGCAGGTCCATGTAACCATCGGATTTGTACCTGCTGATGAACTCGGAGACATTGGATGTCAGAGGAGAATTCTGAGGGAGGCCGATACCGTAACCTGGAAACAAATAAACAGTGAACAATAAAAACAACAAACGGCATAAACGGCATAAACATAATTTGTTGCTCTATCTGTCCAGGAACTGCAGAGAGAAATCAGACATTTGAGCAGACAGATGTTATTGAGCATAAAAGAAAAAACAAAACAAAAACACGACACACAAACAACAAACAAAGAAACTGTCAACAACAATCAATAACAGGCGATCAGGCTCATATTACAGAAAGCTGAACCTCAGAGGCTCTGAGAGGAAGAAAAAACATCAGAAAGGTGAACAATACAAACAGCAACATCAGGCATTGTTCATGTCTGTTTGTGTGGCGTGAGCAGACGGATGTCTGAGCCAAGAACAGGAAGTCGAATAAATCAGGAGAGAAAACCACGGACCTGTTAATTAAGAGGTCTAAGCAGTAATTATTCTGGAGGATGACGCGAAGTCTAATTAAACTAAAAGAAAATCTTAATTATGGTTCATCTGAAGGTCAGAGCGGGAAACTTTTACTGCTCATATTCAAATTTAAACTTTATTCACGTTTCAACCCAATGTTTGACCTCATAGAGACGAGTCACTGTGCTGATCTACATAATTTCCTGTCAGCTTTGGTTTGTAGGCCTGCCTCTACATTGGTCTTCTTCTCCATCTAAATCTGGTCCTACACTGTGATGGCATCAGCCACATATGGGTAAAACAATTCCATTCGTTTACTTTATTTATTTGGTTTGCAGCTACTTCACTAATATGATTCATTAATCATTTTACCTAAACATAACACTGATATTACAAAGCATGCACATAATAGCATTGTGTGGTTTTTCTAAAAATGTTTTCTGTTATATTAATTATGTTTTTCTTTCTTTGAGTTACCTGGTGTGGGGCAGTAGCTGTTTCCTGTCTGGGCAAAAGGTGTGGCTAAAGACTTTGAAAACATGATGCCTGCTCAGCAGGACCAACAATGTTCTTAACAGAAACAGGGATGTTTTAGGTTTACTTATGTTATTCTGTGCTTAGTTAGTATTAGTGTTTTTGTTTCCCTCCTATTGTGTGTAAATGGTTTGGCTAAACCACTATAAAAGCTACCCTCTTGTGTCTTGTAATGAGGTCAGTTTGTGAGTTAAGTTGTGTCCACTTTGTTAAGGTTCTGGAAATTACATTTTATAGAGTTATATTTAGTTGACCTCTTTTATGGGCCCTCTAATTATATTTTTGAATTTTTTTTAAACATTTTTTTGAGGGTTAAAATAAAGAAAACCAATTTTGAATATATTTTTTCCTGTGTCCTCTATGCCTTGGCTGCTTGGTCCCTCACGTACACCCACCCATCTTCCGTGCCTTTTGTCAAATCTGCAGATTCAGTTTGTCCAAACAGCTAAAATAAAGAACAGTGACGCAGGACTGGTGCAGACCCTCAGTAAATCTAAACCTGAAACTATGAAAGTGAGAAACAGATGAAACTAACAGCTGTGGACTCTTTATTTCCATTATTTATTAAAACTGTTTTTATTGTGTGTGTTGAGGGATCACGTAAAATCAGCTTTACTCCAGGGATGGAACGATTTCATGTCACCTTTTTTCTGTTAGTCGCCATTTTGATAATAGTGATGCTGTGTCAGAGCACCAACAGTGAAGCATTCATCTTTCTCTACAATGACTCGACAATTTGGCTTCAGACTCAGATCAGTTTTTCTGTTTCTTGTTATCTGAAGGTTCAGGTCACCTGACGAGCTTCATAGTGCTGGCTTGTTTTCTGAACTTCTGAACTATGATGTTTACACCCCTCAGTATGTCAAGGTTGTTTGACTGATTCACCAGCTGATCTTTAAATTGCTAAACTATCACACAACTTTGCTCCTCTCCTCTGATTAGTCCAATTAAAAGAAAACACTGACAGGAAGTCACCTAAACATAAACAGCAAATGTACACTTTGACCTGACCGAAACACAGACGGAACACCCGCAGTATTGCTTGCTTACCTTCGATGGCAAACGGTTTCCCGACTGTTGCCAGTTTGCAGTCGGCATCGATGGAGACTTCGTAATCCAACAGAGCTTTGTCCATGATGAAGGCATCGAGCTGAGGAGGATCTGTCCTTCAACACAGAGCCACACTGTTACTACGGAAAACTCCAAAACCACACACACAGACAATGATGCACGTCATGTCTTCCTGTTTTCTTCTGATGTGTTTCCAGTCCGAGCCTCTACTGTGCTGGGATGTTCAGTTTTAATTATGATCGGCCTATCTTCATCAATCACCTACATACCACAGTATCAGTAATTAAATCGTATCTTGACCCAGCGTTCTTAGCTACTTATAAGCCGATCTTTAACCTTCCTTTTAGTAGTTGTCAAACAGCTTAAAGATCATCTGCAGAGGAATGGCTTGTTTAAAGGGTTTCAGTCAGGTTTCAGAGACCATCACATTACAGAAACAGCTTTAGTGAAGGTTACAAATGATCTTCTTATGGCCTCTGACAGTGACTCATCTCTGTGCTTGTCCTGCTAGACCTCAGTGCAGCGTTCGATACTGTTGACCATAATATCCTATTAGAACATTAGAGCAGAGGTTCCCAAAGTGGGGGGCGCCATTGCAGGAGGGGTGCGGTATGAGAAAATAAAAGAAAGAAGAAGAATGCTTGGACACTGTTAGCATTTTGGACTGGTTTTTGACGGGGCTCCCACACAAATGCAAAGCAGAAGATGAAACATAGCCAAATATGTTTCCAAACCAACTTCCTTCCAAGCCAAATACTAGAAAATATGATGAGGCACATCTTGCCTTTGGCTTCACCTGCATAAGTGCCAAAGTAGGTCTCCCCGACAGAATTTGTTTCCCCTGCGTCGGGAGCTTGTGCTGGGTTGTTCAAATCATGGACAAACAGTATCCCACATTCATGATTTTTAGTTCACAAACACTTCTTATAATGACTAACTACTCCTGACGTTTTGGAGATGTTAGCTCTTTATACAGTAAAGTTACAGTGGGATACAAAAAACATCAAGCTGATTCTGCCACAATTTCCCCTCCCTGTCCAAATCACAGTATCCCACAGTTGAACCCATTTTGCACAGAGAGGCATTTTTTGAAAAATGTATTGATAGCAATGTTGAATATTATTACACAGGAAAAAAACAACTACACATAAAATAATTACACCATGACGCCTCAGGCTTTCTAAATGGAGGAACAGTAACTGCGTGTGTATTTGTAAGCGTGTAAAAACTGCAGATAGTCAGATTAACAGTAACAGTATTTTGTCTTTATCCGCCATTGTAGAAATTCATCTCATGTAAACAATAATGTGGCGCACAGTGTCACGTGAAAAAAGGCACATACCTTTGTCGTTATGGGTGTGTGTGGTTGGAGGATGTGTCTGTGGTGGGGGTGTGGGAGATTTTCTTGTAAAGTACAAATACTTTGTTACTAAACTTCAGTAGAAGTTTTAGGTGTCTGTACTTTACTCAAGTAGTTTTTTTCTTACTTCTTTTTACTTTTACTCCCTAAAATTTTAAACAAATATCTGTACTTTCTACCCATTACATTTTACAAAAAAGGCTTCTTACTTTTGGTGTAACGCATTTGGGGAGAGTTATTAGTTTACGTCACTGTGAGCCTTCAAACATCAAACTTTGAGCCTAAATAAAAACACAAGAAAATCCTGTTCGTTTATAAATCATCAGAGGATGTTCCATAAAAAGAGACGATGTCTGCCTTTCAGAATCTGTCAGAATTGAGCTGCTCAATGGTTTCCATTTTAAAATAAGATATATATGCAATCTAAACTAAAAAATACCTTTACTTTGTGTTCTTGGAAGGTTTTCTGACATTTATAGGAGGCAAGGTTTTGTGCTGCTGAAAACAGATGTTACGATGGTATATACATTAATTGATATTAATAATTCAGTGTCCCTCAGATTATTGGCTAAGAGTTGTACTGGCCCATGTACATTTTAATTAGATTGTGAAAAAAGTTTTTATTTTCATATTTTTTAATTAATGAAGTTTTTTTTAACACATTATTTCATATTATTTCACTCTTAATCTGAAAACCAAAGCCTTGATATTCATAAGGTCTAGTACACCCCATACCCCCCACACACTTCAGCTCCGGACTGGATGCATTTCCTGCTGCAGCTTCCATGTAAAATAGGGATGGTGCCATCAGCCTTCATTAAGATGTATAATTTAACCAGTTCATCTGCATATTTTAATACAACTTCTGGAGACTTACTCCAGATTTTTCTCTGTGTAAAACAAACAGCAGTGGATGGAAACAAACTGTACCAGAGTCACTGCTGCTGTTGTGTTATCAGTGTTTCTGCTTAAAACTGGGGGCTGCATGGGCCAGGCTTTATATTCATATGCTGCTTCTAAATACATTTGTATTTCAATTCTGTTTTTCAGTCACAAATGTGGGTGAAACACTTGCGTTTACATTTTTTAACACATTGGTGAGCTACAGAGCCATGCATTAAACGAAGCATCAAAGCAATGAATTCATGTCCAGAATTTTTTTAATCCAATTATTTCAATTACTTGATGAATTGCTGCAGTGGTTTGGATCATATCTATCGAATAGATCGATATGAACAGATAGCCATTTGTTCATGTAAATAGAGAGTCCTCTTCACATACTAAGGTTAATTATGGAGTTCCACAGAGTTCAGTGCTAGGACCAATTCTGTTTACATTATACATGCTTCCCTTAGGCAGCATCATCAGAAGGCATAGCATACATTTTCACTGCTATGCAGATGACACACAACTTTATCTATCCATGCAGCCAGATAGCACACACCAATTGGTTAAACTGCAGAAATGTCTGAAAGACATAAAGACCTGGATGACCTTTAATTTTCTGCTTCTTAATTCAGATAAAACTGAGCCTATTGTACTCAGCCCTGAAAATCTTAGAAATATGGTATCTAACCAGATGCTTACTCTGGCCTCCAGTAACACTCTGAGGAACCTTGGAGTCATTTTTGACCAGGATGTCTGTTTCTTCTTTACTCACTTTCATCACTCTCAGTTCATACAACTCTCTGCATTACACCTCTACGCTTTCTGTCTCCCCTTGCTCTCTTCCATCTCCTCTCAACCCCTCCTTGATTCTGTCAGAGATTTCTTCCAGTTAAAAGGGAGTTGTTTGTGTTTATAACAAACACAAATAAAATAAATAAAATTAGAAAAACTGAACTGAGTCTGGTTTCTCTGTTAGAACCAAGAGAATCAGAGCATAACCTGCGGCTGAATGCTGCTCTCTTACTTGAGGGTGGCAACTCCTTCAGGTGTGGTCGGCTCGTTGAAGCGTCTCATGTATTCATGCATTTCTGGAAAACTCTTCTTCATGTAATCCTCCGCACTGCTTTCCCTCACTGTCCCAAAACGAAAACCCTGTGACGGATGATGCAGCTGCACACACCAACAAAGAGGAGGAAGAGGACAAGAATGAAGGACACACAAACAGAGGAAACAGCGGATGCTGCATATTCAGCTGAAACACATGAAACACCTGTGAACACATTTGACCTGAAACACCCCACAAAGCTGCACAGTAGCACTCACGCTCACATTCAGTTTCATGTTTCTTCTTAGTCATGCTTTATTTTATAGATTACATCCAGAAATTTCCTTCACAGCCTCTTGATACACTACGAGGATAGGCGGCACCCAGAAAGCTGCAGGGCTTCACATTTAAAATAAAAAGCTAATCACACACAGATGGACGTCCAATTAAAGCTCCCTGAGCTCCCAGCAGTGCCGGCTGTGCAAACACTGAGAGGCGTGCTTCATGCTTCAATCAGCCGCTGAATTAAAAGTGTAATTATGACAAGGCAGGTGATCCACAGAGCAAATTTAATCTGTAATTGTTTCAGGACGGAGAGCACAGAGTGAAAAGAGTCTGCAGAGAGTTCACAAACACAGATCTGACCTCGCCTGAACCAGCAGCACCACATTGCCTTTATCATGAGACTGAAAAATGTTTCACAGGAAAAACACTCGTGGTCGTCTCACTTCAAACTCACCGTGTGGCCGTAAATTCTGTGTGTGTGAGTGTGAAACTGATGGTGTGAGACCGGGCATGGTTAGAGGTGAGAAATGGTCGAGTTTAGTCGCCTGCTGTGTGAACCCCTGGCTCCAAGTAAGACCTGGGCCTCTGTGTGAGATCTTATGCAGTGTAGCTGATATCCCCTGTTAGTGTTTTTCCTGCATCTTCATATTATTGTTGTTCCAGGATCACCATTGCAACTGACCAATTACAATGTGATGTCATAGCTTTGCAATTTGGGGGTAAAAGTCAAAAACCCCTTTGTTTATATAAAACTGTAAAAATTTCTTCAATAAATGGTAAGTGTTTCAAGTGTTTTTTTAATTTTAGTTTTATTCTTAGTTTAAAAAAATTTTCCTATGTGTGGGACTAATAAAGGTTTATCTTCTCTTAATTAATTCATACAATATAATAAATATATTGTCAAGTTAGGTTTCATGTTAGCCAAATTTTGCTAGTGATAGTTTTTAAGAGCATTCGCTAACTTCCTGGCTAATGATAACTGAAGGTTCAAGTTGTTCTTGCCCAACTTGGCTGAAAATTTAACTGGTCCTTGACCAACATTATTATAATGATGCAGGATGCTAATCTCCAGTATGAGCCCTATATGCTGAACCAAAGGGATGCTTCAGAAATGTTTTAGTCCCTAAGGATGTCCTGTTTGCACTCTCCTTGCTCTACGTGTGATTGGAGACCAGCTGAAGATCCTGACACTGACAGCAGAACCATGACAAAATAATCTAACCTTATGGTCTCACCTTGGCATCATGGATCCCTGAGACCTCCTCAAAGGTCTTCTCTCCCACCATGACGGCAGCAAGGTTGGCGGTGTAGCTGGACAGCACCAGCAGACAGAAGATGGCCCACAAGTTCATCAGGAAGCGGCCTGTCCAGCACTTTGGGGTCTTAGAGGAGACGGTGCGCCCGAACAGGATGGCGTAGCACAGGTTGAGAGCCGATGAGTAAGAGAATACCCTCACCCGGTTGCGCCCATGAGGTGTCATCCCATAAGGACTCTTCCACTCGTAGAGCGTGAGGAAAAGTGCAGTGATGTGCAGTGCCAGGAAGATGCCCACCCACATGGACCAGTGCAGGGGCCACATGAAGGCCCCGATGGGGGCTGCTGTGTCCTTACTGCGCACCAGGATGCCCAGGCTGGTGGAGAAGAAGGGCGAAGTGAAGTCGATCACCCGGCTACGGGCAGAATTTATGCTAAATGAGGTGACGGCCATGTCTGCCAGACCATTCAGGAGATCTCCCACCAGCCCGGTCCAGCGCCCTCCCTTCCAAGCTCCATACTTTCCGTCTCCGACGATGTAAAGGTCAAACTCAAAGCCTAGGTCCTCAGCCAGCTTCTCCAGCAGGTCTATACAATAGCCATAGCAGCACTTGGTGTAGTCTCTGGGCAGCGAGCTGCTGTTCCCAACTGCCACTTCCCTGAAGTATCTCTCCAGGGTCTCTGAGCTGTTAGCGGCAGCATCCAGGCAGAATTGACCAGCCGGGCAGCTGCCCTCGTCGTCCACGTCCCGCGTGAACACGAAGGGATGTTCCACCAGGGTTACCACCCGGACCCGACTCCCTGCCACCGGCAACCCTGCTCTCCACCGGCCCCTGGTCCTCCCACCCATCCCATCCATCCTGTGGTGAGGCTTGGGTCCTTGCCACACTTGCTGGTCCTCCACCTGCAGCGAGCCATCCTCCCAGCTGCCTACTGTCACCCAGGTGGGTTGACCCAGTGCGTCCCGCCGCAGACTCCAGATATGGAATCGTTGCAGAGTAATAACCTCAGACCAATTCTGGTGGACTCGGACGGGACCGGTGAGTCCAGAGAAAGATGTGTTTGACAAAAACCTGCAGGAGAAAAAAAAAAGCGGGTTGCATGTGAGTGGGGGCAGGGCTTGTGAGCAGTGCTATTGGATCACTGTCTACTGAATTATCAGTTTTTAACTGAGAGCAGAAGAAAATGGATAACAAAATTATCAGTCAATAGGCTAATAAATAAATATGATGTATACTTTTCAAACATGGTCTCTTAATAAAAAATTACTTTCCCACCGGGATCAACGCTTGACCCCGTCTAACTTTAACCATAAAAACAAAATTTTTAATACACAGATGACCCTGATGTGTTTCCAGCTCTGATTGGTCAATATGATCGCAGACGCTATGTTTCCACCGATCATGAAGAAGTTTTTTGGTTCTACAGATAATGTAACTCATGAATCGCTGTATGGTAGGCAGGAGATTGGACCCGAAATGCAGGACTCTTAACCAGAGACGGGCAGTAACGCGTTACTGTAATCTGATTACTTTTTTCAAGTAACGAGTAAAGTAAGGGATTACTATTGCAGAAAAGTAATTAGATTACTGTTACTTTCCTGTTAGCACGGTGCGTTACTGCGTTACCAAAACCGTGACTTTTTTGCAAGAGTGTCTCATGACAATGACGTAAGCGAGTGCGACGTTCGTGGCAACAGCTGTGTGCAGATCAACAATGGATAATATGACGTGTGCGGGAGAGAGTATGACTGTGCAGCGTTTAAAGCGTGGAAGTACTGACCTTACTTTGAGTTCGATTCCGTAAAAAGTGACAAAAACATTAGCGTCCGCTGTTCAGTGTGTGGGAAGAAAACTTATTTTTTACAGCGAAAAAAACCCCCTAAACTTCCGAGCAAGCACCGAGAGTAGGCTGCCACAGAATGGGAAATTCACAGAAAAACTCCCAGATCCTTCCACTGACCGCTGCGACACATCTGCACCAGGGCAAACCTCCCTCCGCCTGCCCCTCTCCTGCTATACAGGTGAAAATAGAGCAACAGGACAGCTGAGTCTTTGATTTGATTTATTTTCTGCTGTGTTTTACTTGCATCTATTTGAAAGACTGAGTGTAAACACAAAAAACTATTTTATTTTATGTGCTGGAATGTGCAGAAAATAGGTTTAAATGTTAAACAAATTTCTTCCAGTCAGAGAATATTTCATATAATTAAACACACAGCATGAGGGACTGAGGGACTCTGACATAAATACACAGAAAACTAACAAGGAACATAGGAGCACACAGGGAACACAGCTGACACGAATCGTGATAATAATGAGACAGGGGAAGAGCAAACACAACATGATGGACACAGACAGAGACTATCAAAGTAAAACAGGAAATACACAGAGATGAGGGAGAGAGAACATGAGGAGCATGACAGGCTGGGGAAAACATGATGGCACAAGAACTCACACAATCATATAAATGCAGACACCCAGGTGGAGAAACAGAAGGCAACAACACAGGGGGAATACTGAACAGAATAACGTAGGAAACCTAGAATAATCCTTAACATAATGCAGAAAATGACAAAAAGCACAGGAAACTTAAACCGCTGGGCCAAAATGACCCAGAACCATGACAATAACGTGATGTTTGTGTCAGAGATGGTTTTTAACCCCTTAGCAGTCCTACAAATTTACAATTAGTCCCCTAAACCATCCAATGTACCGTGGGCGGTACGTCCGACTGCTAACAGGTTAATTTGTAAATTGTCCTGTGTTTATTCTCATGTCTTTGGGGCATTTAAGTTTTCTGTGAAAGCTGTAAAAGGTTAAGTTAATGTGGAGTTTCATTGACAGAGCTCTCTGTGACAGATGTGAGCAGATATGCAGTCTTGAAGTCTTTAACCTTAAACAACCTGAACAAAGTTTAAGTGTTCTTAGATCCTCATGTTTGATGATTCTAACATTAAATGTTTCACTTCACATTTTACCTTTTCTTCTCCTGCAGCCGATAATCTGTCTGCTCTGGTTTTATCTCAGTCGAGTATAATTTAATTTACTGTGAATGTGTTTGATCTGCCTTTGTGAGGAATCCCGGCGCAGCAGCTAAACCTTTTATCCTTCTAAAACTTGCAGCTCTGTTTCATGTACACCACAGTATTTGATGCAGCTTTCAGAGTTTCCTGCAGCTCGTGTGCAACTGTTGGTTTTGGTATTTGACAAATTTTCGCTTTCACACCTTTTAAGAACTGATATTCTCATAGTAGAGTCAGTGTCTGTTTTTACTTTTTTTGTTCTATAATTTAAAAAAAATATTCATTTCATTTTTGCACACCAACTCTTGTGGTCATAAACTGTAAAATTATCTGTGTTCACATGTTTATAACTGAAAACTAAGGCAGACTGATGATATGTTTAACATGTTAACCTGTTTTAATGCAGGATTCACTTAAAGAACTGATTTCTCTGACTCAGTCAAATATGAGGAATCCAGTTTATCAGATTCTGCATCTAAACTTTGGACATCTAAAGAAAGACTGAAGATCTCATATTATTGTGTCCTGTGAAGAAGTAACAGATAAAGTTAATCTGAACAGAAAACACATCTTTAAACATGTCCAGATGTTTAACATAAAAGTTAATCATTCACTTCTTGACCCCACAAACAGCTGCCTTCATGATGCTGACAGAGGAGAAACAGCATCTCCATCTCACGTTCAATGTTAGAATAAAACTCCAGCAGACATGGGGAAATGATCAGACAACTGAACCCAGAGCTGCTTCTGCTGGCTTTGAATCCAGGAGGACACCATTAGAAGATTGAACAAACATTAATGAAGCTCAGCTTTTAAATAAGAAAAAAATAACATAAAAGTGCCCAATCATCCAGGTAAGAAAATCCCCAAAAAGTTGATGTTGTTCATCTGGACGTAGTGTTTTCAGCAGGAGAAACGATTCATCATCATCCAAGTGGCTTCTTCAGTCTCGGCTGACTACAGGTGTGCCCAACCTTATAAATAGTACATTTATGTTATGACTGTAACTAGCCCACTGAATGACATGTCATAACCACTGATCAGCAACCACTGATCAAAGACCATGAGTACCATTCACAGAGAGTTAAGAAATGGCTGCAATCACAGCATTGTAAGAGGGTGATTGATTCCAGTCAACTGAGTTTTTTTTCTTACCCCTCCCAGTTCAAATGCATCAGACTTCCTATCTGTGGAAGGCTGTTTACCTCAGCTGCCAATACTGGATGAGAAGCATTTGCCTTGATTTACTTTTTTTTTTGCCTGTCCAGCTCAGCACTGTAGCAATCAGAATTATTGTCTCAAGGCCAAATAAAATGCCCAACGGATTATTTTTCCAAGTGGATCATTATTGGTCCACTAGATCTTTATTATTATTATTATTATTATTATTATTATTATTATTATTATTATTAATTTTCTTTTATTTATTTATTTATTTTTGCTTTTAGGTTTTGACAAACACATGATTGAGGGATAGGAAAGGGAAAGACGTAGACTTACAGAAGTTCAAGAAAAACAGAGGGGAAAGAAAAACAGAGGGGAAGAGGGACAATGAGAAAAGACATTAAGAAGTCCACTGAATCACCTGCTGGAAGAAAACAAAAGAAAGAAAACAAGCAAAAAGAGAACAATGGAGACTACAGCAACAACCTAGATAAGACAAATATAAGTAATAGTAAATAATAAATATTGAATGTTACTGAGCAGCACGCAAGACCGACAACGCACGGTATGCTTTGAAGCAGGAGCCAAGGAAGTTATAATGTGTGTCTGTGAACACCTGTGTGTACACCTGTGTGCGTGAGCACGCTTGTATTCAAAAGATTTCTCCATGTAACTATCTGATAGAGCAGGCATGTCAAACTCAAATACACAGTGGGCCAAAATTAAAAACTGGAACAAGTTCGCGGGCTAACATTAATATTTATTGAAAAACAAATCTTCCTCCAGATTTAAGAATGAATCTCTTCTTATGGACTCAAACAAGTTTTTCTGAAAAACTGAATATGGAACAAGCAAAGTTTAATACTAAACAATATATATATTAGCTGTATAATACCAGTAGGTCAGCTCTAATAATAATTTGGTATGGCTTCGTATGTAGTTAGGCTGCGGGCCAAATTTGGCCCGTGGGCCAGAGTTTGACACCTACTGTATGTGATAGAGAGTGTGGGGAGCCATAGCCCTGCCCCCCCAGGACATGAAGCAGGCATGGAGGAGATCCAGGCCCCAGACATCTAGAGGCCCAAGGAGGACTACCGGAGGGGCAGCCGCACCATCCTCCTGGAAAGAGCTGAGGAGAGCCCCATACAGGGGGTCACCCAGCCGGTGCAGAAGCTACAGGTGACTGCGGTGACGTGTCCGCGGGCTCTGCCGGCAGCCAGTTGCACCAGAGTGGGCAGAGCCCTGGGCCCAAAGGCCCGAGGTTAGAGAGCCCCCCACCCTCCGGAAGGAGCCCGACCGAGCCACGTGCACCAGGCCCCGTCAAGCAGCCACCAGGAGTGAGTCAGTGCATACCTGAGCACCCAAAGGCATCAGCCACCAGCAGGGAATGTGGTGGGGGGAGATAGGCCCCTGCACCTGGGGGCCTGAGATGTTCCCAGAGACGTGGAGTCTAAAACCCGACCTGACACATAGACATAGACAAACAGGCACACACAGACACAAACATGCATTCCTGCCCTCATGCACACATATACCAATAGTCAGCACTCGCCCAACATGGAAACAAAAGAAATGAACACTGTATACCTTGATTTACTCTTGATCAAACTCTTGATTAAACAAAAGGAGTCCGATATGAGTCAGAAATGAACTTGTTTATCCACATTTTCGTATGCAGCCCTGACTTCATTTCAGGAGATGAAGCTTAATGTGAGGAGGAAGAGGATGAGATTTTACTAAGGTTACTATGTTACTTGAAAAAATTAATTTGTAACTAATTACTGATTAATTCTCCATTTTCGAAAGTAATTAGTTACTTAGTTACTTTTTAAAAACATGATTTACAACCTGAATAGGT